GCCCGCTCGTCCTTCTGGTATGAATAAGTTTAGTGAGGACAGGGGATTTAGGAGACAGGATGGGGTAAGAAATAGGGTAGGGGGGAGTTGATTCGGGTCTTTGCGTTAATTTTGAATTTTGATATTGGCCTTGGGGGTGGCGTTAGGAATAATTTACGTTAATTTTGGGGGGGGGCTACTATAGAGCGGAATTTTGATATTACTCTGAGAGGGCTGCATGGGAGGCATGCAGAGCAACGTGGAAATTGGGTACCAACTCAGCATTTGCTCTAGTACCGAGGAAAACCACGGAAAACCTTGGTCGAGTTGGTTCGAAGTCGAACACGAGAGAGAGAAGAGAGAAAGTGGGGGGAGTAGCGATAGGCACTACTGTTATAAATGGGGGAGGGGTATAAAGTTAATTGTGGGCTACGAAGGTTCCCAGGCAGTGCCCGCTCGTCCTTCTGGTATGAATAAGTTTAGTGAGGACAAGGGATTTAGGAGACAGGATGGGGTAAGAAATAGGGTAGGGGGGAGTTGATTCGGGTCTTTGCGTTAATTTTGAATTTTACGTTGAACCCCAAGCTCGTACAGTATTTAGGAACCCAGTCCGTACCGCGGAGAGAACACCACACTTAGATATTAAAGAGATCAACTTGTTAACGCTGTTCAAGGATTTAAAGGGTTGAAGAGTTTTTCCGATAGACGATTTTCTAATGGTAAACGTCCGTGTCATAGCTCAGGTGGCTAGACGCTGGCTTCTTACTGCAGAGACCAGAGTTCAGTCCCAGATGTCAAGTGAGATTCGCGGTGGACGGTGACACTAAAGGAGACTTTACTCCGAATTCTTCGGTTTCCCCCCCTTCATAGTCAGTATTCCGCCATTGCTCCGTACTCATCACTACGAGTGTGCGAGAAAGTTAAGGGCTTCTTTTCTTACCCCGTACTTCTATGGCCTCGGAGTAAAATTAGTTTAGATTATAGGGAAGTGAAATATATGGCTTTCTGGGGCATGGTGGAACAACTGTGCCGTGTTTGTCGTATTTTGACCTTTAAGGAAGGCTCCAATAAGAGATGTATATACGTTAGATTAAATTCGTCTGTTTTTCAATAAGGAGATACGTGAGAGTCGGTGAATAAATCTTACGTTGAAGAGATGAGGTTTTGACGTTGGTGATGTTTTTACATGTGGACAGGTTTCAAAATATACGTAGAACATACTTTTTTCAGTAAAGCCATCTCGTTTCATGGCAGTGTTGGCACTTTGGATGAAGGGTCATTCTTGACCTCGGCACTAGATGGGGGTGAGTGGTCAGCATCACGCCCCGGCCGCCCCCGGGAGAGGACCCCGGTACTCGTTGGATAGGAGGCTGGGTAGGTCCCAGAAACCGGTCTGGACGCAGAGGTTAGAGGAAAAATCCTCTGTCCCCGTCAGGGATCGAACCCCAATCCAGTCCGTAGCTCATACTTGTAAACCAGTGGCGTACAATATTTTTTCTTGGCTGAGGCTTTCGAATTGACGAAATATTATGTCTCAGAAGAATTTTTAAATCGTATCATAATTATATTTGTGATACTGTGGCCTTTTTCGATATTTGGGTTACCAGGACCCTCTTAGTTAAAGATACATCAGCCGTATTTAAAAAAAAAGTTCAGTTTGTAGACAACTGTAATGCCTTTACCCGAACTCTGCGCCTTGCAGATCTCAGCTTCAAGCCATTACCTTGCATTTATTTTTTTCATAGTTTATATCCGGTGCCATATTATGGGGTTTGGTACGAAATGTTTTCTTTAAATTGTGATAACTGAATAAATCTGTACATTTAACAACTTTAAGAGTACACATTTCAATTAGAGATATTCATATGAATTGTAAAAGAATCTTGGATGAATCGTCATCACACAAAGTTAAAGACTTTTATTACATATATTAAAGTTTGTTTTTACAGAGAAATAATTAGTCACAGTTTAGACTAGTTATGGAAAATTCTTTATAAACGCAGTTGAGTTGCTATGGGTAACCAGGTAGAAGCCGTCTGTCTGCTGTTTTTCTTATGGATGCAGCTTTGGCTTGTTGCCAGGTATTAGCAGGAAATGGACTAAAATGCGCATGATCGTACGGATGGGGAGAGAAATTCAGGTTACGTGGGGTTGTAGATATACGAGTATCGATGTGGCAGGTCTGACCCCCGTGTTAAACTCCCATTCCAGCAACTCTGTTGCAGGCATGGTTACTTATTTACATTTGCTTACAAAATTCTAGCTGAGAATCCAGCAGGGGAAAATGCCGTTTAGAAAACAATGGCGTAGTTTGGAAAATAATAGTAAAATTGATCTTGAACAGGTTGTGCATTAGATTAATATGTTTCAAAACGGGGATCACTGTTAGGCTGATATGAACACTGTAATTGACCTTCGTTTTCTGTTAAGAGACCGGTAATTTATTGACCAGCTGAGCCACAATCCGCTTCTTAAGACGAACTATGTTTGAGGGAATTAGGAAAATTATAAATTGGCATTACATTCTATATTTTAATATGAATCAAAAGTTGCATAACATTTTAAGGATAATCGTAAGTTTTATTATGGTATTTTTAAAATCCGTGTTCAGTTTTACAGTTTTTATAGAAAAGAACGGATAAATATAAATATGTTGAGGGTGTTTCTAACAGCGCGAGGAGTCTTTCTGTGTTGTGTGTCGCAGGATGAAACTACGAAGCATCGTTCAACGAGCGTAAAATTAACAGTGACGTATGATCCCACAATATGTGTGTCTGATTCGTATCTCGAGCCCAGACCCATCTGGCGGATATTGATAAAACGAGAAACGCAGAGCAAGATTAGGTGATGAGTCGTCTGCCAATTATAACTGCCAATGTAAATTGAATGAAAGATTTCTTTGTAAAAATGTAGTCGTAATAGTTAAAGTGTCAATGTTGCCTGACACACAGTTCCAGGTTTAAAGAAATGGGTGTGAATTATGATGTGAGATCCTTCTTATTGGCATTTGATACATGTGAGTTTTATAACCTAAGAAACTGAGAAAAGTTTAACTAAAACGAATCATGTCCCATTTTGTAGTAGTATGATGCTAGGTTAGAAGTTCACCATTTCATAGTATCATCATAAATATTGTAGAAAATGTGTTAATTTATGTGGACTGGCACTTTGAAAATATTCTGCTGAAACCTCGGGTGAACCAGAATTTTTTATAATTGTGAGTTTTAATCATATGAGGTCTTAATTTAAAACTGATCTGTGGTTGAGTCAAAACCATCTTTAGGTCCTAAACTGGCCACTGAATGTAGTTTATCCATCCCTGCCCTGAGTCCAATTGTTTCAACTTCACATTTGGACTTCCTTTATCTCTGCTAATGCTGCTATTGAAACATCTGCTACATTTGTTAATAACTGGTGTGTCGCATGTAGGGATTAGAGCTCATATCCGCAGTCAATTTAATAACACCAAGTCCACTACTTATATCCTGTTGCTATAAAGAGCCTTGAGATAAGCATATGAACCTTTGGAAGAAATTGTTTAATGTGTGTTTGGTGCAGTTATTAAATTAGTTAATTAATTCTAGTGCTTATTAGCAGAGTTGTTATGTGTATTGAGATAATGCTTTGTGTGATGAATTTTGTGCTTTGATCATACTTTAGGATATTATAGGGGAGTTCCAGCTCTTTCTGTTATGTTCAAACTCATATACAAGTGTCCAGCGACATTATGTCAATACTTAAGGCTCTTATTCCTGAGGCCATTGCTAATAAGATATGTCATGAATATAGATTCAATTCTCAACATTTACAGAGTGATGGGTGGACATTATACATGATTCGAATGACACAAAACAGAATTAATAGTGTGGTGGAGTACCTGGGCAGTTCCGTGAGTTGTATGGTGATTTACAGTATTGGCCACCGCGGTCACCGAACCTCACTCCCCGAAGATTTTCATGAAAAATATAGTGTATGAATGCAAAGTAAACAGAAGAGAGGAACATAATTAATTTTTTGATGCTGAAAAACATAGGAATGAACTCAATGTTCTATGTAAGGTTCTAATAATCTTGGATTTCAAGTATTCATAGCTCTGTAACTGTTAAGAATTGGATTAGATTGTTAATGTGACATTTCTGAGTGAGAATGACCTCAGGGATAAGATCCTGAAGTTGATGAAAGACTCGCAGCTACAAGCTGAATGGTGAATAAACCATATCTTTACCATTCAGCCACCTGACGCGGCTTGTAGCCCGAGAGTCTTTCATCAACTTCAGTCGCCGCGAAATCTTCACTTTATACACAAAATCCTGAAGTATTGACATGCAGGCACCAGACATTCTGTGCAGTATAACAATACTTCTTCCATGGCTCTCCGGTCCGTATTCGGTCCACGGCCTTCTCAATTCTCCTCTTCCATTCGGTCCTATCCTGTTAGGTCCGTCTGTCCGAGGCTTTGACAATATAAAAACAGTCTGATCTAAAATGTTGCAGGAATTCGGTTTTCTGAAGACGTAACCCGAGATGAGGTGAAAGCCTTGTCAGCCCTGATGACCTTCAAGTGTGCCTGTGTTGATGTCCCATTTGGTGGCGGAAAAGCCGGTCTCAAACTCAACCCTAAAGAATACAGTGAACATGAACTGGAAAAAATTACCAGAAGGTTCACTCTTGAGTTGGCAAAGAAAGGATTTATTGGTTTGTACTTTCAGCTGTCTGTGTAATTTACAGATTTTATCTCCTTGAATCTCTTACATATGAGATTTGACAGTTCAGTGTCTGATCTGTTTTTCAGTCTTGCAGGGATCAGAATAGCTGATATAAAAATTAAGTACAGTAGAGCGCTGATTATCCAGGGTTTATTATCGACAACGTGAACTGCGAATACAAATGTGTCTGTTCCTATTTTGTTTTGATGATAGTTCCAATAAAATATAATTTGTATTAACCTTGTTTTTTGTTATCTTGGCCCCTGCATCCCATAATTACCATTAATTATGAGTGCTCTGCTGTCCTTGAAATGATTTACGTAACATGAAAATCACTTTGGGAGGTATCTTTTTCATGAAAAAGTGATGTTCGAAATGTCGTCAATATAATGGAGTTGGCTGGTTAATGACTTGTATTAAAATATTAAGAGTTTCTGCTCCTTATTGAAGGCACTCAAGACAGATTGGAAAATTCAAGTTAATGAATTTTTTAGAGCAGTTACGATAGTCTTGATGGTTTATAGTAAAATTTGTGGTGGTACCAATATAATAATAATAATATGAAGTTATTAGCACCCTCTTTCCCCTCACTTTTATTGGAAAGTGCGTTAGTATTGACACAGTTCATCAACTTCAGCAATAAGCGATCCGTAAACTGGATAATCGAGAGACGACTGTCTTCTGGGTTGTTGCGCCATGTAGTCTGGTAGTTTACCACCATTTCAGAAGTCGTTGCATTGCCCCGATGATGGACGCAGCAAGTATGTCTGAGATATTAGCGGTCTTATATAAGACTACACGTTAAAACAACCTAGAAGACAGCCATCTTCACACTCGCTGCAGTGAAAATTTAAATATTTTTATATTTAGGAGTATACTGTATGTGAAATGACCAGAAAACATGGTTTTTGTTATGAAATTTAAAGTATTCATGTTGTGGTCTTGGGTTGTGATACCCATTGTTTCGGAGGAAATTGTTCCCTTCATCTTCAGGGTAACACCACAATTTATGACTGTGCATGCATGGTGTCTTAACCAGAATACCTCAGTGTGATGAATTACTCTGATAACACAATTGTACCAGACGATTTTTTATGTCAGGACCTGGAGTCGATGTCCCTGCCCCAGACATGGGCACAGGAGAGCGTGAAATGTCGTGGATCGCTGATACTTACGCTAAGACAATTGGTAAGTGGCATTTTACTGTCTTATGTTTTTGTGTTTGTTAGTACACAGTTATGTCATAATAAGTGCACTTTGGTTTATATATATATACACTGGGAACGACCCGTTCTTCAAGTGACTGAGCACTGCGGGTCCCAACTTTTCGTTGGCTCGATCTATGTACATCATGGCCTCTACCTGTACACAGGACAGCACAACACAAAAAAACGCGGACAAACATCCATGGCTTGAGTCGGATTCGAACCTACGGTCCCAGCGGCACAAGGCTCACGCCTCAGACCGCGCGGCCAATGCAGGCCCCATATAAGAATTTAAATCTCTTTGGTAATAAGAGTTATTAATAAATTATACATGACACTTATTTGAAATATTTCTTGACGTGACCATTAAATGAAATAGAAATATAAGGGCAAATAATTTTAGTGTGCAGTATGATATTTGTAGTGTTATTAGCTTTGTAACTGTAGATGTAATTGTATCGTCATCTTCTTCATCCTGTCAGATGCTAGACTATGTGACCTGTTAACAGTTTCATGCCATCTCTTTAGTGGGCTTATGAAATTTCTTCCCCTTGATTTGTATCTGCAGTAACTCAATATCGGAGAAGTGCGAAATAATAATTAATAATATGGAAAATGTGTATTCTGTTGGAGTACATCTTTCCACTATATGTTTATTTCCTTATAAAAGTGTTATGGAATACACAAAATAGAAGGAAATGTTGGTATTAGGCTTATTGGGATTTGATTTTTTTTTCCTTCAAAATTTGGTAACTTATCAGTAATTCAGAGCAAGTGGGAGGGGTTAAAGTGCAGACTGCAAAACCCCACACAAAATTTCCTACAACTTGGAAAGAAGTGGTTTTTTTCAATTCTAAATGGTTCTGACGATGGTAGTTTACACTTAAAATTATTCATTGTCAGGACTTTTTCCATCGTCTTTTCTTTAAAAACCCGTGCCGTTTCAGAGGCTGGTTCTGTCTCCGTCTTCATGTGAGAGGTACTTACTCTGTTGAGTCCCTTAGATAGAGCAGAACCAGCCTCCGAAACGTCACGGGCTTTTAAAGAAAAGACGATGGAAAAAGTCCTGACAATGAATAATTTTAAGTGGGTTTTTTGTTTAAAAAAATATAGTTATGAAAGAAAGGTTCTGAAATGGAAGAATGAACATTCTTGGTAGTAGCATAGTTCGTGTATGTGCATAATATTAACTTTTCTTCTCGTTCCATACCAATATATAAAATCATTTGATGTTGATTGTTTTTGTTACTTCATTTTTCAAAATTCCTGTATTGTGCTATTTGCTGAAACCAACTCTTCAGAACGTCATTCATTGGTAGAGACTGCACAATAGCCTTAAGTTGAATCCTAAAAATCAATCTTTTATTGAAATTCCTTTAATTATCAGGTCACCTGGATATAAATGCCCACGCTTGTGTAACGGGCAAACCTATCAATCAGGGCGGTATCCACGGACGTATCTCTGCAACTGGTCGAGGCGTTTTCCACGGACTTGAGAATTTCATCATGGAAGCTAACTATATGAGCATGATTGGCACTACTCCTGGTTGGGGCGGCAAAACTTTCATTGTTCAGGTAGGAACAGTTATGCATCCTTTGCATGAACTGCGGAATGAGAACACGTTCCCATTCATCTGTCTGTCCAGTCGTTTCAACTCGAGAACCACCGGACGGATTAGGATGAAATTTGATGTGGAGGTTGTGCTGTTCTGCACAACCTCAAAATTGTATTTTTGAATATTCTACATGTGATGATAACAAAATGGCAGATGAGGACATTTGTGACGTAGACATTGAGGTGCTGTGATCTGGTGGCCAGAATGGGAATCTTTACTGTGTGGACTGTTCAGGTGGCTCAAGAAGTATAGGGTCTGGTGGCAGCCTTTTGTGAAAACCATAATGAACATTTAGGTTCTTGAAAAAAAGGCAGAGAATTTATTGATCAAATGAAAGACTATTAAACTACTTTATAAACCAAAGGTATCTCATTTTGTATTACCATTTCATTACTGTGTATTCTGTTGGGAAAATATTGACTTTGATGTTGAGTAACAAATTAAATGCTAGAGCACTATATTTTCTGAAAGCATTGATTGAATAGTGGTAATGGTCACCCTCAATGGACTAGTGGTTAGCGTGCTCGCCGTTGGACCCAAGGTTCACGGGTTCAAACCCGGCTGAGGTAAATGGATTTTTAAGGGTGATAAAAATCTGTAGTACAACTTCCTTCAGAGGGGAAGTAACTTGGCGGTCCATGTCGTAGATTTACGGCATATAAAAGAACTTCACGAGCATGAAATGAGATGTTTTGTAAGCAAATTTCAGCAGCCATTTCTCACCCGTCTCTCCTGATTCACTACTAGATGGCTCTAGCAGTTACATCAAGATTGAGTAGAAATTGTGTTCAGAGGGAGTGGGCTGGTCACTCACTGCTCGCAAATGTACGCTTCAAAAGACTAGGAAAACCTCTGAAAAGGTGGCGGCGAAGACCCACAACTGGGTTGTAGAACCAAGGAAGAAGAAGAAGTAGTGGTAATGATTAAAAAATCATCATGGAAAGATATTTTCATGGTTTGTAAATTTAAAGTTATCTATGAATATGTTCAGGTGCTAAGTGACCAGTGCTAGAGTCTGATACGGAAAAATTTAATTTGAATAAGCTAAGTGATATGAAAGTTAAAGGAATGCATACAGATCTAAGCAATTAATTAATTTATTTGATGTACGCATCATATTTACAGTGGATGGTATATTTCAGGGATTTGGCAATGTAGGGCTCCACACTATGAGGTATCTTCACCGCGCCGGAGCTGTGTGCATAGGAGTCATTGAAAGAGAAGGTTCCATATTCAATAAGGAGGGACTTGACCCAAAGGTAAGTAAATTAAGTCAGCACACTTAATTCTACATCTTTGTGCGCAGCATCCCGTATGATGTGTTTGCTTCTGTAATTGCAGAGATTAATAATGTGTGTGATCATATTAGAACTGATCTTAAGAATTTGGCCAAGAATATGTGGTCTGGTGGCAGGCTTTTTTGATCTCAGTAATGAAGGTTATTTTGATGAAAGTAGGGGAGTTTCTTGATTGGCTGAGCAATTATTAGCTTCTCATTTGTCTTATTTTTTTCATGACTGAAAAATAAAGAGTGCACATTTTCAAATAATTTTTGAAAGCAATGTCATATGTTGGGTATCTGCAAATCAAACCATATAAGTGTGTTTGCATGTGTGCACGCACATAGTCGGTTACATTTACGTGTAAATGTCTGTACATGCCCATGAAAAGAGTTAAAATGGACCAAAGAAATTCTGAAGGCGTTGGTAGTAAACACAGACTGATGCAGACTTACATTACGAAAGAAAACATTTTATATAATTATATATTTTGAGATTTAAATGTATGTGTATGGTATATTTTTTTTTTTTGCTTATAGCAACTAGAGGACTACCGTAATGACACGGGAAGTATCGTTGGCTTCCCCGGAGCAAGTGCATATGAAGGCGAAAACATGATGTTTGAACCTTGCGACATTTTTGTTCCTGCTGCTATTGAGAAAGTGATTAACAAGGAAAATGCGCACCGTATACAAGCAAAGGTAGGGTAAATATTCAATTTAATATTTCACGGAACAATTAAAGCCTAGCACGAAAGAAATTTTAATTTTACTTCATGATTTAGTTTACTTTCACTTTTTGAGTTGCGGTTTGTTTAGTCTCATGTTGATTAGTATTTGTGTTTTTATCAGTTCTGTAATTAAATTTTTTTAACAGAAACTTCTGTACGAAGTCACGTAAAACTACCTTTTTACGCTGTTCTCTTGATATACAAGTTTAACAATAATGTTATAGCGATTCAATATAGCTGATTTGTATCTGTATATGCATCAACACTGACGACGGTCCTGTGAGGACCAAAATGTCTGTAGATTAAATAAACCGTGTAAAAATGTAGTTAGTTATGTGACTATGTATATAACCACACGATGTCATACATTCGAAGAAACGTCAGTGCTCGCCTTCTTTCCTGTTATATTTGTGGGAGTTCTTTATGCATCTGTGAACTTATCACGACAGTAATGTTATGGGCCAGATCACAGACTCTGACTTTTAACACCTTTTTTAACGAAGATTTCCGTCTTCTGGGTTGTTGCGCTGTGTAGTCTGGTTGATGTTAACCGACGTTTCAGAGGTCATACTGCCTCCGTCATCAGAGTATGAAGATTTCTGTCTTCTGGGTTGTTGCGCTGTGTAGTCTGGT